ACAGCATGCATGTTTAGTGAAGACTGGGGAGAGGGGAGATGTCAGGGACAACTTTGCAAAGTTGCAGTTTCTGAGCTGAACTTTCAAGTGGTGGTGGGAGTCCCTAAGGACAAGGAATGAATGCAATGCACTTTAGAGAGCTACACCTGTCAAATGTTGGAGCCTAAGGAATCGGAAAACTAAAGTAGCATTTGACTGGGACTTGGAATTGAGGCAGAGACTACAGGGAGAGTTCGAGAATAGGTAGGTAGGTAGAGGTCAGTTAGATCAAGGATTGCATCCGCTATGAAGCAGTGCATGCCATCCATATGTTGTGAATGAACTATTTTTCACTTTTTGACCTTTATTTTTTTAATGTCTAAAGAAACATATATGGTTAAAAAATGAAAAATGTAGAGAATTATACCAGCCACAATCCTGCCACAAAACTTCTGTTAGCAAGTTATGAATCTTTTGTGCCAGGTGTGGTGGCGCACGCCTTCAACCCTAGCACTTTCAAGGCAGAGACAATGGATCTCTGTGAATTGGAGGCCACCCTGGCCTACATAGTGAATTCTAGGCTAGCTGGGGCTACAGGGAGACCCAGTCTCAAAAAGACAAAAAACAAACAAACAAACAAACAAAAAAAAAACAGAACAAAACAAAACAAACAAAAAAAAGTCATAAATTTTTTAAAAGGGGATAAAAGATAGTTTATTCTGGAGCCAAATATGAGTGACCATGCCCGGGAACACAGATTTAGATTACCCCGAATTCTATGTTCCAGTGTGGTAACAGTAACATTATATTTTTATAGCCTATTCACCAATTATCTGGGGACCTCCTTAACCCCATAAATAGTCACACCTTGCCTACCTTTGTTTCTGAATTAACATTCTTGTGACTAATAAAATGTATTAACTTAGCAGACCACCAAGTCTCACCAATCAAAAAGTTGTAAAACTTTTGAAAGCATAATGTGTATAGTTTCCTTTAGTTTAAAAAAAAAAAAGAGAGAGAGAGAAGGCTGAGATCCTAGCCAACAGCCTGAGAGGGTGGGTTCCGACCTCCATCCGAGTAGTGGCTGTGAGCTCAGCAGACTGCCAGAGAGTGCTGGTTCTGGCCTCCCTCTGGCGTAGGGGCTGAGAACGCAGGTGACTGCCTGAGAGTGCCTACCCTGCCTCCACATGGTGCTATCAAAATGCTTGAAAGCAAATCCTGACTCCATCACTCGAGTCCAGCCTTGGCAGACAAAAGAAAAATGAGGAGGACCCAAATAGAGGGATGCTTTTGGAAGCCCTTGTCAAGAAATCCCAATGGACTCATATGAACATTTGAAAACTGCAAAAAAAAATTATGTTGGTTTAGGGATATGACAAATGTTGGTCTTTCTGTAGGAGCTATGACTTCTACAGTGTGTTATCTTCAAATTCTGGGAGGCAATTAAGGGCTATGGCAATATCCAGAGTTTTTCAGGAGTCTCTCAGACTACTCTGATCACTAACCAGAAAGTTGGATTCCCCTCTCTGTCACTGTTTTTTTGATATATAGCCTTCAGCTATACACATGTACTCATATGACTATAACAACTACATATATGTATGTATGTATATAATATGTGTATTCTTCAGAAGGCTTTCAACCAATACCTTTCCCGTGATTTTTCCCACCACATACTCATTGTTTATCGCTCTTCTTTTTCCCTCTGTGTAAACCTCCCTATTCCTTTCCTAGTTAAAGTATCACTTTTCCCCATTTCCCCTTTATAGCACCATTCTACTACACTCTCCTATCTCCAGCTCCATTTTCCCCTTTATCGCCATGGTTCCAATACATTTTCTTGGCTCCTATGGTTACATCAGGATATATACTCACATGAGGATTAAGGGCTAAGATATACAAATGAGAACATGAATTACTTGTTTTTCTGAAAAAAAATATGTGTATTCCACTTTGTAGGAACAACTCTAAAAACTGTGTCCTTTAATTTGTTTCTGTATTAAAGTGCACTCAATGTATGTGCTATTAAAAAATTTAAAAAAATAAATAAATATTCCAAAACATTTTTACTTAAAAAAAGAGAGAGCTATTGAACTCACTGTTTGGGAGCCTGAGTTTTGGTCAGTGTTTTCAAAACATTTTTTATATGTTAATATGTGTTTGGATGATTTATAATACCTTGGCAAGAATATTTGTTTAGTTATATGTACTAAAACATTTCTATATGTTTTTAAGGTTATAAGTCTTTAAACATTGGCATTTCAATGTTTTGCTCTGAGAAATAGTATTTAGATAAACATTTCTGCTCATATAGGTAATGATTTCCTCTGAGTCTTTGTCAATAGCTTTATTAAATCTCAACCTTAAGACAGCAAGCATGGCTGGAGAGATGGCTCAGCAGTTACAAGCATGTACTGGCCATCAGAGGAACTGAGTTGGGTTCTCAGTACCCTCATCAGGTGGCTCACAATCACCTGTAACTCTAGCTCCAGGGGAATCTAACACCAACTTCTGGACCCAGGGGCACCTGCACTCACACATGCACATATAACCACACACAGACACAAATCTACACATAATTAAGAATAAAATACATCTTAATAAATAACAATCTTATAAGATTAATATACCGGGAATAATTAAAAAGCAAAGTAAGATTACATATCTCTACCTCCTATTGACCATCCTTGGTTATTGCAAAAACCTAAGTGATGACCTTTGCTACAACCTGCCTCAGTACTGTATTTCATTTTTCAAATGGACCACCTGCCTCATGAAGAGGTGATGGACCAGAGTCCACCTCTATTACACAGATGATAGGAGCCTCTGTGTTCCAGAAAGGGGGTGCGGATACTCCCAAGGAGCTCAGTCTGGGGAAGGATAGCAGTAAATGACTGAGGAGAAGCACATCTAAAATTAGCTCAGTGTGATGGGGGTGGGGTTGCTGAAGAGGATGCCAGGCATGAGGACTACCTTGTAGAGAGTAACAGAGTAACAGTTAAGTAACAGGAGCAAGGGGGGTTTGGAGTGGGATGAGTAATTAAGACAAATAGCACCTAAGATGCTTTCCCGTGCTGCAGTTTATCCTTTAAAATGACCAGTTACTTAACAGACGCTTTCATTTGGATCTTATCATTCAGTCTTCACAATGTCCTTAGGAGACGATAGATGTTACCCACATTTGTGCAGATAAGTAACTGAAGCTCACAGAGGTAATAGTAGAGAGAGGAGTTGCAATCCAAGCCCTGGGTTTTACCACTGCCTCGCATCACTGCTAAAGCATTTCCTCTCCAAATCTCAACTGAGCCACATCAACGTCCTCAAGGTTAGAGGAGTGGTCCATGAGCATGAACAGTTCTAATGCACGATTTCAGCTACCTGAAGATTGACCTATGCTAGTAAGTTCTGGAGTTGCCAACACTTCTGCCTGACTTCTTACTCTCCCTGTTCAGCTCCTGTTGGATGATGGATGCCTGTTAGATTCAGGATATGACTGTCCAGAGTTCTCAAACTGGGCCAAGTGAGAACATCCTGCCTTAAGTCCTATAGTTAGGTTTCCAAGTACCATAGTGTACTCCTTGGTTTTTCTGTTTACCTGTCAAATGATATCATGAGGTGTCCTATCAACTAGGAGGGAAGGGGAAGTGTGGTGATGATGAGGAAGGTAGAGGAGAGCTCTCACAGAGCCAAGCCAGCAACTGCGAGGTATCATTGTCTCCTGCTCTCGTGTCGTGCAGACAAAAACCGTTGTTGCTTTGATCCACATTTTAGTTTCCTTTCCTTCTTAGTTTATAGATAGCTACTTCAGATCATGAAAAAACACACTTATTGAAATGAAGCATATTGTTAAAGAAACTAAAAATAAGAGACAACTCTTATAAATAAACAACCTTACTGCATTGAATGTTCAGCTGAAGTCATGAGAATGGCGATTCTCAAGGCCATTCCTGGGTGACTGCCCCAAAATGAACCAGGAGAAGAATATTTGGGAAAATTCAAAAGAATATTTGGCATACCAAACAAAAGATCTTCTCAGTCTGGCAGTGAGATGAACATTGGCATGATCATTCTGGAGAATATGCAGAGTCAAACAGCAAATGAGACCAGTTTTCAGTGTCTATGTTGGAGAAATCAGACTGATTAATAGCTATTGTATTTGTAGGAAAATAAGTAGAATAAATCAAGGAGTTCAAAGGTAAAGAGGGAATAATCCCATTACAATATTTGTAAGTGAAAAAAGAAACATGGAAAGATAACAGAAGTCAGAGAGAGAAGAATAGTCAGTAAAGTTTTATGGGAGTTCAAAGTTGGCCGTGTGAAGCAGTGAAATCCTTTTTACTGCAAGGCAGCTCTTCGCTGAGCTTTGCCAGCCCATCTTCTTGCAGCTGTGCTTAGTTGTATCTTACTCTTGGCTTGTCTCTTGCACTTGGGGTCTTCAGAGAGCCAGCATCGTCTCAGAGTTCTAGAGGGTGAGCCAAGATTGTCGATTAGGGTTCATCTTTCAGTCTATTATGTTGAGTCATAAGGAAGAACAAAGACTGTGAGGGCACGTGTTAGAATTTTGGCAACGAGAGATGAATGACTCCAAAACCTTGAGTCAATTTGGAAACTCCCAGTCTCTTAGGATAAAACATATAATCCTATTTAGAGATTCCTGCTATGGTCTCATGAAACCCATTAATTAAAAAGTGCATAATCCAAAGTCAATTAACTAGTAAGCTATTATAACAAATTCTTGCTTTATTAACTTTTCCAAATATGAATCATAGCTATCCACTCAACGCAACAAATTTACACTTTCCCGCTGGCTGCTGCAACATGCTGTAAATACCTCTGATCTTGTAGCAGCTTTCTGCATGGTGAACTTCCTTGAAATATCTTGTTGGTTCTAGCTGATTTTTGTACTGTGGGCACATTAATTTATGTTTGATGGAAATCAGATGTAAGTGGGGCTGGGTAATCCAGTACGTGTTGCATGCTGCCTTACAATTAGAAATTCACCATGTTTTTTCTCTCTGTAGGCTCACGCCCAAATCTGGCATCTCTACAATACCTCTTTCCGTCCTATTCAAGGAGGCCAGGTGTCTATCGCCTTAAGCTCCCACTGGATCAATCCTCGAAGAATGACTGACCATAACATCAGAGAATGCCAAAAATCTCTTGACTTTGTACTCGGTTGGTTTGCCAAACCCATATTTATTGATGGTGACTATCCTGAGAGCATGAAAAACAATCTTTCATCTCTTCTGCCTGATTTCACTGAACCTGAGAAAAAGTTCATCAAAGGGACAGCTGACTTTTTTGCTCTTTCCTTTGGACCAACCTTGAGTTTTCAACTATTGGACCCTCAAATGAAGTTCCGCCAGTCAGAGTCTCCCAGCCTGAGGCAGCTCCTATCTTGGATTGATCTGGAGTATAACCACCCTCAAATATTTATCGTGGAAAATGGTTGGTTTGTCTCAGGGACCACCCAAAGAGATGATGCCAAATACATGTATTACCTCAAAAAGTTCATCATGGAAACCTTAAAAGGTAGGTTTTCAAGTAAAATTCTAATTTCTTGTCAAAATCCACTAAAAACAAAACCCCAAACCAAAAAATAAACCTTTAAGACTGCCTGCAATATACTATGTGAATTTATTGTTTCTCATCATAATGTATAAATTAATTTTGGCAGTAGTAAGAATGTATTTGTGTCACACCTTTCTCATTTGGGGCCTTGAGAAACAAGTTATTTTTCAAAGTTCTTTTTATCAATGAGAAACTGGACTAACATTTAAAATTCCTTGACTCACAGTTCCTAATCTACATTTTTAGATTATATCACACATAATATCATTCTCAGGACCACTAGCTTGCTGTACATGTTTTTGAGTTCTTTTGCTTCAGATGAATGAAATGTTTTTAACTTTTTAAATATTTTTTTTATTTTTTAAAATGTCTGTACATTTATAGAATGTATATTGATCATACCCACCCACCACCACCTCCCTCCTTCAATAAAATGCTTTTTAAAACAAAAGGAAAGGGCTAGAGAGATGGCTCGGTAGTTAAGAGCACTGGTTGCTCTTACAGAGGACCTGGGTTCAATTCCCAGCACCCACATGGTGGCTAACAACCATTCGTACCTCCAGTTGTAGGGGATCCAATGCCCTCTTCTGACCTCCATGGGCATTGTACGACAAGGGTGCACCGACCTACATGCAAGCAATATGCTCATACACATAAAATAAAAATAATGAATAAAATATTTTTAAAAACCAAAAGGAATATTCATGTTATCTGAAAATAGTAGATTGAGATTTTAAAGGCTATTCAAAGGGCCGGGGAAATAGTTCAGGTGTAAAATGCTTGCTTAGCATCCCAAGGTCCTTGGTTCTACCTGCAACATTAGAAAAGAAAGATATTACTATATGTTGCACAAGTCACAATGCTAAGTGCCTAGATTAAGAAGCAGACTAAGGCATCCTCCTGGCCCCCAAAGAGCACTATTGGGAATGAGAAACTCTCCTATATTTTGGAAGTAAGCCTATCTATAAATATATTTATTTATGAAGTTGTCTATATTTGATGAGAGCCTTTGTGAACAAGAAAATAAAAAAGGTTTACCAAAGAAGAGGCATTATACTTGACTTGTTTCTTGAAGTGGAAAAACCCCTCATATGCTCTCGATCCCAAGGCCCAGCGCAGGATGATGTTGCTCTTGTCCTCTCTTCCCTCTGCAGCCATCAGGCTGGATGGGGTCGACGTCATTGGGTACACCGCATGGTCCCTCATGGATGGTTTCGAGTGGCACAGGGGCTACAGCATCCGACGTGGACTCTTCTATGTCGACTTTCTGAGTCACGACAAGAAGCTGTTACCGAAGTCTTCAGCCTTGTTCTACCAAAAGCTGATAGAGAACAATGGCTTCCCTCCTTTACCCGAAAACCAGCCCCTAGAAGGGACATTTCCCTGTGACTTTGCTTGGGGAGTTGTTGACAACTACGTTCAAGTAAGTCAGCTGACAAAACCATTCGTCAGTGTCAGCAAGCCCTCTCACTAGTAAATAGGGTTTCCTTACCTGGCTGTTGCCATGGCCCAGTTGTCAGTCTTTGAGCCAAGCAAGATTCCCTGATGAGCACACTCTTGGAATGCTTCACTCTTCTCTCCCCCAAATCTTCCAGTCATCACCTTGTACTTTACATTAGGTCTAAAGGGAAAGAAATTTAAAAAAATGAGCATTTAAGATCTGCTAGGACAGTAAAGAGATAAGGCACTCTCCTTTAGTATTGTGGTTATAATCCCTTTTAAAGAAGTCAAATTTTCCATAAATAAGTCTCAACATGGAAGTCCGGAGAATCAGCGCTCTTAGTGGAGCTGCTGAGACTGGGGCTGAAACTTTAAGCATTCCCTCCCCAGGTGAAACTGCCCCACTCCAGGCTTGCAGACATACCTCAAGAAGGCAAACCCTAGCTCCAATGACTTATTGATAGTAATGTCCTTTTAGCTATAGCTATTAAAGTCATATGGGATGCTTCAAAATGATCAGTCAATGTTTATTGAGTATAAACTATGTAGTTATCCCTCAGAATTGGATTTTATCTCCCTACGTTTAAGAGACCGTATTAGGTCATGGGGCATGTCCTAGAAGGGAGTAGTGGGATTCCAGTCCTCTCCTTCTTTTTCCCATGTAACCATGACATGAGAACCTTGCTCTACCCTGTGGCCCCATTAGGATGGCGGACCTCACCACAGGCCCCAAAATAATGAAGTCAATTGATTATGGATCAGAACTTCCAAAGCCATCAGCCAAAATTAACCTATGTCCTTTAACTCGATTCTCTCAGGCTTGTCATAATGATAGACTGTAAGGATGTCTGGGTGCCGTAGACTTGGGTCAGCCTCACCTTGCTCAGTGTGGGATTTTCCTTCCTGCTCCATCTCCTTCCTTCTCCCTCAGTCCGGTGCTGTTTGGAACTTCCTTATCTGAATTCCTCTCTTCAATGTGGGATCTACAGTGAGGCTTAAGTGGGCGCTGAGATGGCAGAAACAGGGATGTTGAGGAAGGAGTAAGAGAAGGAGAAAGGGAGAAAGAGGGAAGATGCCCCCTACAGCCTCTCCCTCTTACTTTGGATGGGACTGGGGGTAGAATAGATGGTTCCTGGTCCTTGTTCTCTTTACCTTTCACCCTGTTGCTGCAGGCCTTGTCCCTGTTACTGAAGGGCTCCTGCACGTTCTGCTCTCTCATAGCAGCCCGAGTCTGGCAAGTAGCTCTAAGTTCAATCATTTGTGTTGAGAGAGGATTCATAACAGCATCTGTGGGTAGCCTGCGGGACCTCAGGGAGACATTGCTGTGTGGGAAAGCCAAGACTTTCTTCTTGCCTTGTTCCCCAGGCCAGGGCTATGTCTTTGCTTCGGGAGCTAGTAGGTAGTAAGTGCTTAGAGTCCATTCTATTTTCTTGAGAGAGAAGAGCAGCTCAGACCACAAGTAGAATTAGAGTATCAATAGGCCAGGAGAGTATTAATAAGTTTGGAGAGAATTCCTTTTTTATATATACCCTCAAAGCAATTGCTTTTGTCACTTATTTTGTAGTGTTAGAGCTGGAACCCAGGGCCTTGCATCTGCTAGGCTATCACAGAATTACATCCCCAGCCCCTATAGCTGTTTCAGAATATGCTCTGAGGTCAGCCATGCAGGGGCCCCAGAGCTCCTCTCTCAGATTGTATTGGCATTTGAGATCGTAGCTCAGGGTACCTACCTCTCCACCTGTTCAAGCTCCTCAGTCTGTTCCTGTGAACCTGACAAACACAAAAGTAAGTCATTCTCGAAGCCACTGTGGTTGTGAACGCTCTGGAAGCTCTTTAGTGAGAACAGACTGCAGCTGCTGTTTCCGCTCTCCTCCCTGTGTGTTTCAAAGCTTTGTATTATGTTGCCAGTGGCTTTCCCAAGCCCACAGTCAAAGTGCAGTCTTTGTTCTCTCAGGTGTGAGTGTCTTCTCATAGACAAACAGCACTTGGCACTTTTACAATGCTATATATTCAAGTTTTAAGCGATTTTTAAATCACTGAAGTTCATTGTTTCCCTCTGGCTAGTGTTCCAAACTCTTTTTCTTGTTGTTGTTTGTTTGGGTTTTTTTTTGGGGGGGGGGGGACAGGGTCTCTCTGTAGCCCCAGCTGGCCTGGAGCTCACTACGTAGACCAGGCTGGGCTTGAACTCACAGAGATCTGCCTGAAGGCGTGTGCCACCACGGCCGGCCATGTTCCAAACTCTTAATACTTGAGGCATACATTTCACCCAAGTAACTTTAAAAATATCTCCCATTGGCTGTGGCGGTGCACGCCTTTAATCCCAACACTTGGGAAGCAGAGGCAGACGGATCTCTGTGAGTTCGAGGCCAGCCTGGTCTCCATAGTGAATCCAGGACAGCTGGGGCTACAGGGAGACCCCGTCTCAAAAAGACAAAACAAAACAAAACAAAACAAAACAAAACAAAAAAAACCTTCCTCACCACACACAGCCTGTCAGAAGTTTGATGATGGGCTCATTCCTATGGCTTGTCGGTTTACTTGGACCAATTTCCCAGTTTGAGTTTGTATTCCCATAACCACTAATGCCCACAATTAATAGAAGTAGAGACTGTGCTACATACATACTGAAGACATACAGATTCTTTGCTATTGGTCCCTGTGAGGAGAACATTTCTTCCATAATATACTAAGTACATGCTTTCTACCCATTTCTTCTCAAAGATCCAATATTACTTTTTAGTAAAAACTAAGTCAATAAATTAGTGGAAATTAGATGGCATTTTGCCTACATACTCATTTCTAAATGCCCTGTAGTTTTAAGAACTGATCTCCCCTTCCCCAGAAATCTTTCCTTGTACTTTTATATTTATTTTTAGATTGAATAAAAGCTGTTATTTTGGAATGATTCTGGCAGAGAAGTTATAAATTTAGTCAACTCAGAGAGAAATAAAAATAACCCCCAAATTTGCTTCAAGCTTTGAACGCTTTAACTTCAAAAGAGCATGCAAATACATATTTTCTCTTGCAAGCTGAGAAAGCATGATTTGTAGGCGTATGGCAGTGGGAAAAACTTCTGACAGCATTCCCACAGCATCAGGGGAAATGCACGCGTGGGTGAGCTGCAAGGGACAGTTCTCCAGGAAAGCAATTTCCCTCTGACAGGCTGCTTTTTATTTCTTTTCTTTATAAACACAGCACTCACCCCTCTGAAAAGCAGCACATTTACAACAGGCCCATAAACTTCAACTAAACCGGTGCTAGAGTTCCAAAATGAGGGTTTATGTGACCCTTGCTTTTATGGGAGTTGTCCGATGAAGGCACCTGTTGTAACAGGATTGTTTCAGGGAGAAAGCTGGCTTAGGTTGTCAGTTTCAGTGGATTGTTCCTTTTCATGAAAGCAGCAAGATTTTATGATTTTGCTCTTACATTTGGCCTGCTTCTCCTAGAGACTTTTCATTTTAGAGGTTTACATATCTTATGACTGAGACAATTATTGTCAGTATCGTTACAGGAAAAAATTTAAAAGCTAAAATCTTAAAACTACATTTAAAAATTACCTCTGTGGGTGGATCACAATATTTATTTATTATTTATTTTATGCATTTGAATGTTTGGCCTCCATATATGTAAATGTACTGGAAGAGGGTGTTGGATACCCTGGAACTGGAGTTAGGAATGGCTGTTAGCTGCATTGTGTGGGTATTGGAAACCAAACCTGGGTCCTCTGGAAGAGCAGCCAGCGCTTTTAACTGCTAACCTAGCTCTCCAGCCCCAGAAAATATTGCTTATTTGTACATTTTTTTGCTCAGACGTCTTATCATCAGACTGCATTAGCTAAATTCTTTCATTGGCCCTCAAGCAACAAAAGTTAACGGTTATGCATACTTAGTACCCAGAGCAAGCCTCCATACAGAGCATAATTTTAACAAACACAATTAAATGGCAAATATCACTTCATTTTCTGACTTTAAATCACTCATCTTTTAAGCATTCTCTCTCTCTCTTTAAACAGGTTTGTTTTTATTTGCTAAACAGCAGCTTCAGGGACTGTAAGATGGCTCACTGGTTAAGAGAACTATGTGTGATACAAATGTGCCTTTTTAAGGTGGGATGTTTTATTTCTGAAGAAGTTTGTACCTTGTGAACAGCGGTTTAAATATGCACCTGGAAGGTTTAAGTGTGCAGCTAATTGTGAACCTCTTGTTTGCTAGCTTTATTGAAATTATTGCTGGAACTTTCGAGACTGCCCAGATAAGCCAACAGTTTCTCCGTTTTTTGTAGGTGGACACTACTCTCTCTCAGTTTACCGACCCAAATGTCTACCTGTGGGATGTTCATCACAGTAAGAGACTTATTAAAGTGGAAGGAGCTGTGGCCAAGAAGAGGAAATCCTACTGTGTTGATTTCTCCGCCATCAGGCCGCAGGTAGCCTTACTACGGGAAATGCACGTTACCCACTTTCACTTCTCCCTGGACTGGGCCCTGATCTTGCCTCTGGGTAACCAGTCCCGAGTGAACCACACGATCCTGCACTTCTACCGCTGCATGATCAGTGAACTGGTGCACGCCAACATAACGCCCGTGGTGGCCCTGTGGCAACCAGCAGCTCCGCACCAAGGCCTGCCCCTTGCTCTGGCTAAGCAGGGCGCTTGGGAGAACCCGCACACCGCCCTGGCCTTTGCAGACTACGCAGGCCTGTGCTTTAAAGAGCTAGGCCACAGGGTCAAGTTCTGGATCACGATGAAAGAGCCGAACACCAGGAACATGACGTACCGTGCCGGGCATCACCTGCTGAAGGCACATGCGTTGGCTTGGCGCCTGTATGATGAGACGTTTAGGAACGCTCAGAAAGGCAAAATATCCATCGCCTTGCAGGCAGATTGGATTGAACCGGCCTGCCCTTTCTCTCAACAGGACAAAGAAGTAGCCGAGAGGGTTTTGGAATTTGACATTGGCTGGCTGGCAGAGCCCATATTCGGCTCTGGAGATTATCCACGAGTGATGAGAGACTGGCTGAACCAAAGAAACAATTTTCTTCTGCCTTATTTCACTGAAGATGAGAAAAAGCTAATCCAAGGTTCCTTTGACTTTCTGGCTGTAAGCCACTACACCACCATCCTTGTAGACTGGGAAAAGGAAGATCCAATAAAATACAACGATTACCTAGAAGTGCAGGAAATGACGGACATCACTTGGCTGAACTCTCCCAGTCAGGTGGCAGTGGTGCCATGGGGGCTGCGCAAAGTGCTGAACTGGCTGAAGTCCAAGTATGGAAACCTTCCCATGTACATAATGGCCAATGGCGTTGATGACGATCTACACGCAGAGCAAGACATGCTGAGGGTGTATTATATACAGAATTATGTGAACGAGGCTCTGAAAGGTAAGGGGCCCCTGGAGTGCTGTGGCAGAGCAGATGATGCCTGGTAGAGAAACACTGTCCACACTCACATAGTCCAGAAGACAGCATTCTCCCTATGGATAGAACAGTTTAGGGAAAACTGGAAGCCCAGAATCCCTAGCACCTGCCTGGATTTGTCAAAGCATGGTCTTTTGTGTTTCATCTCAGAGGATCCCACACTCATCTCTTTTCTTTTTTATCCTCTCTTTCCTATTATTTTTTAAATTAATTGTTTTTGTTAGCATACAAAATAATGGATTTCCTTGTGAGACTTTTTGTAATATGTGTCCTTACACTTTGCTCTTATTCATCCTTCCCTCTGTCCTCCCTAGTCTCTCCTCTCCCTCTCTTACTGATCCTTCCTTCCTGAAGAGTGTCCATCCTATGCATTCTTGTCACGTTATGTGTCTCTCTACATGTATTATGTATATTCTGCATATGGTAGAAAATGGGCTCTGCTTTACCTCTGTGTTACCCTCTCGTTCTCCCTTGCCTCCATTTAGACCTCTTCCTTAACCCTCATATCCTCTCTCTCTCTCTCTCTCAGAGAGAGAGAGAGAGAGAGAGAGAGAGAGAGAAGAAATGTACAATACTCACCCAGGTCTGGTTTATTTCACTTAACACAATGTTCTCCAGTTGCATCCATTTTCTTGAAAATGACATTATTCCATTCTTCTTTATTCCATTTATTCCACTGCTGCACCTGAACATTATTCCAGTGTGTGTGTGTGTGTGTGTGTGTGTGTGTGTGTGTGTGTGTACCACATTTTCTTTATCCATTTATCTGTTGATTGACATTTGGGGTAATTACATATCTTGGCTATTGTGAGATAGCAATTAAAACAGCTGCACTCACAGCTGTTTTAACTGCTTGAGGTACATAAGATTAAACCAAGTATGTCATAGTAGGTTTGGTTGTGCAAAACTCACTGTGTAGTATAGCTCTATATTTGTCTTGATACCTGTCTGTTTTTGCGTAAAAGAAACATTTTCCAATTAAATCTAAGGAGTGTGAAGTTTTATTTAGTGGTATTTTTTCCTGATGTACCAAGGCTGTGTTGTGTACAAAATATTTCAATAAATCCTCTACTGTCATTTTGTTTTTCTAGCCTATATACTGGATGGTATCAATCTTTGTGGATACTTTGCTTATTCATTTAACGATCGCTCAGCTCCAAAGTTTGGTCTTTATCGTTATGCTGCGAATCAGTTTGAACCCAAACCGTCTATGAAACACTACAGGAAAATCATCGACAACAATGGTTTCCTGGGCTCTGAAGCTCTGGGAAGGTTCTGTCCAGAAGAATACACAGTGTGCACTGAATGCAGCTTTTTTCACACGCGCAAGTCTTTACTGGCCTTCATTGCTTTTCTATTTTTTTCTTTTATTATTTCTCTCTCTCTTATTTTTTACTACTCCAAGAAAGGCAGGAGAAGTTACAAATAGTGTGAACATTTTCCTGTCCATTTGTTTGGAAATAATTATGCACGTTTATCAGCTGTTAGCTATTTATACCTCTCAGTGTTGTGAAGCCAAATTTCACACATCTGGAGTCACAATCAAACTTTTTGTCCCATCTGGCAAAGGTTTTGGAACAGATGTAGGTGACTGTAAAGTATTAATAAGGTGAAGAGTGTCTGAATTTGTTCTCTTTTGCGGTGATAAAGAAACTGTCAGTCACCATAATTTCTACAGCACTCTCTGCAGGGAAAGCATGAAGCTATAGCCACACCAGGGTGCACTGCACAGAAAATTGGAAGTCAGCTTTAGGAATATTTTTGTCTGTGCCAATTTTAAAATGTCACGTGTTTTTGAAGTAACAATCGCTTAATTTCCATAACACCTGACAGTGATTCATTTACCTCACCTAATTTCACATGGTGACAATGGAGGAATGGTATGGGACATAGGGCAGGGGGACCCTAGACTGAGCCAGTCCTTTAAAAAGCACTGCTTCTATCAAATGCTGCTAATATTAATTTATGAATATACTTAGAGAGCACATTATGGACACATTTTTCATGAATGTTTTGAGGTGCTCTCTAAACCCCAGATCCTTGAGGATTTTTGCTTGCTGGCTCTTTGAGAGTCTTCACATAGATTTTTTGATAGATATTTGCAAAAAATAAATATGAGTCATGAACTGTTGTCCTCTTCAGGAAGCAGAAGTTGACTGTGAAATGCACTACGCTGCAGGGGTTCCAGAAAGGAGGGAGGAGGAAAACGTTCTTTTTATGAGCAACGTGACAAATCTGATCACACATCCTTTTAATTTGTAGTAGACCTTGAAATGAATGAAATGACCTTTCCGAAGGATGAACACTATTTCTACAAAGGCGGCTCTTGGTTCTGCTCTTCAGAGTGTCTTGTAAATTCTTTGACTTGATAGTTTTTAAAATTTCTTAATAGATCCCAAAGCAACCCATTCTGGTAACACCTGAAGATTTGTTTTTGTAATCTCTGAGATCCACTCTGCACATCTGCAGAAGGAGTTTTGAACTCGTTTTGCTTTGAACTTTTACACCACAACATGCTACTGACTTCCAAGGAAAGGGCTAATTAGATATTCTCCTTCAATGCCCTCCTACCATGAGTCTTGCTGATTTTCAGACAGGGAATTCTTCCCGCTACACTGGAGTTGTTTTATAGATAAGTTGGTATCATATCAAGCAAGATAAACCAGTAATCACAGGAATACCTACCCTTGTTGATATTACATTATTACATGTTGTCTTGACAGGTGGTATGTTGTTTTTTTTTTCCATGAGAGATAAGCATTTGGTGGTATTCTTTATAAAACTGGATTTTACTAAGATCAGACACTACAG